CACGATGAAGAGCGAGGCCGAAGGGAGGAGGATGGTGGAGAGACAAGGAATGAGGTGAGTGCTGACCGTGCAGGCTGCCTCGACCAACAGCTCCCGCTCAAGAAAATTTCCCTTTCCAGCAGGACCCTCCCTCTCGGCACCTCCGACTTTCCCTTCCCGCCCGCCCGATGCGCACAAAGCTCGAGCTCGAGTGGCCGCCACTCTTTGCCAGGCTGCGAGTGATGCTGAGCCGAAATTTTGGACTTTTTTGGTCGAGCAACTCCACTTTCTTCCTGTCCTGCATGACAAACGCTTACGAGCTGCACGCGACAGGGCGAGCCTGAAAAAATCTCGCCGAGGAGGCGGCTGCAGAGGTTCGACATTCCAAAATTTGAAGGCGCAGCAGCGGCAACGAGCAACAGGGTCCCTCTGTCAAAAGTCGTCTCGGTCCACGCATCCCGCACCCCCTCCATCACCGGCTGCTTCTGGACAGCTCTACACACATCGCAAACATGCCTGGACGTGGCCCGAGCCGACGACGAGGCGGCAACGCCTCGAGCTCGCTGAGCCGTTCGGCGACTTTCGACGACATCCCAAAGGATGACGAGGATCTCTTTGAGGCCAGCCGCGATCAGATCCTGCTTGACGGCCAGAACGGCAGCTACGATTCGGACGACGACATGGACGTGGGTCTCAGTAATCGGGAAGTTCTGGGGATCGACGAAGCACCCTCGGACGAAGACGAAGACTCCGACGCAGAGGACGACGACGAGGCCGAAGACGATGCCGAAGAGTACGACGAGGGCCTCTCGGCACGACAGAGCCGCGGCACCAAGAAGCGTGACATCGAAGTGTCTTCCGACGACGACGATGATCTCGATATGGACGACGAGGACGAGGATGAAGAGGATGACGGCCCGCAGATGCACGAAAATGACCGCGGCTGGGGCACCAATAAGCGCGCATACTATAACACCAACGACCTCGACGACATGGACTCGGACTCGGAGATCGACGAGAAGGAAGCACGCGAGCTCGAGCTCAAGGAAGTCAAGCGTCTGCAGAAGAAGAGTCGCAGTGCCATGGACGACTCCGACTTTGGTCTCGGCGGCGATGCTGACGTTGAGCTCGTCAAGTCGGCCAAGGATGCCGGCAGGGAGCAGAGGAGGCGCGAGCTGGACGGCATCGACGAAGAGCCCAAGCCTTCCCCGACTCAGGAGCAGCAGCAGCAGCCCGCCGCACCGCTTTCCGGCGGCACGAACGACGAGAACACGCGCCGCGCCCTCTTGGCCAAGCTGCAGCAGACGAGCCCGGAGGCGGTTGCGCTCGCGGGCGAGTACGCCGACATGCTCGAGGAGTTTGGGCGCGTCGACTCCCTGATCAAGAAGCTCACCGTCGAGCAGCCCAAGCATGCCAGCCTGGAGATCATGCACGTGCACTACCAGACGCTGGCCACGTACATCACCACGATGACGTTCTACTTTCACCTGCGCACCTCGCCCGAGTTCGCGAGCGAGCCGGCCAAGCTGCGCACGCATCCGGTGATGCAGCGCATGATGCGGCTCAAGCAGGGCCTGAGCGTGATGGAGGACCTCGGCCTCACGCTCGACCCACACCGCATGCCGGCCGTCGGCGGGCTCACCTCGGATGAGGCGGACGAGATGCACATGCTCAGCCAGGGCAGTGAAGACGATGATCTGGGCGAGCTGGACGACGACGAACTGCTCGACCTCATGGCCGATGCCGAGGCGAGTGGCAAGGAGAACGCTGCACCGCGCCAGGCGAGCAAGCCTGCGAAGAAGGCCAAGAAGCAGGCCGCTCGCCAAGCCGAGGACGGCGCCGAGGCGGCTGGCAAGAAGAAGAGCAAGAAAGCGGACAAGGGCGAGAAGAAGGCGAAGAAGACGAAGAAGGCCGAGCCCGTGGCGCCGCTGGCAGCTGGACTGGCGGACCTGGACGACGAGCCGGAGCTGCTGGTGAAGCTGAAGAAGAAGGGAGCCAAGGCAAGCTCGGCGGCCAGCAATCCGTTTGCCGTGTCTGGCGACGAGCGCCAGTTCGAGGATGCGACGTTTGGCGAGCTGTCTGGGCTGTCTGCGATCGAGTCTGCGGAGCGAGCGGCGCGCAAGCGGTCGCTGCAGTTCCACGCGTCGGCGATCGAGAGCAAGGCTCTGCAGCGCAGCAAGGCAGCCAAGGAACGCCAGTCGGGCGATGCCGACATCCCGTACCGCGACCGCGAACGCAGCCGCGCGGGAGTCGAGGCCACCAAGGCGGCGCGCGAAGCCAAGCTGCAGCAGGAGCTCAACGGCGGGCGTGGCAAGGACGTGTCGCTGGATGGCGACGATGGATGGGGCGAGGCGGACGAGAAGGACTGGCGCGAGGTCATGGATCAGCCAACGTCGTCGAACGGCGCCGCTTCACGCGGTGGCGAGGATGTCAGCGATGACGATGACGATGCAGCAGGATACTACGACTTGGTCGCATCTTCGCGCAAGCGCGCGCGTGCCGAGAAGAAGGCCGAGTACGACGAGGCTCGCAACGCTGAGCGCTTCGCCCTCATGGAGGACGAGGAGCTGGAAGACGGCCAGCACCGTGGCATCACGCGCCAGATCGAGAGGAACAAGGGTCTGACGCCGCACCGCCCCAAGACGTCGCGCAACCCGCGTGTGAAGAAGCGCCTCAAGTACGAGCAGGCCAAGAAGAAGCTCGGCTCGCGCCAGGCAGTGTTCAAGGGCGGCCAGTCGAGCCTGCAGGGCGGATACGGAGGAGAGGCTTCGGGTATCTCGACTCACCTGGTCAAGTCGCGCAAGCTTGGCTAGTTGCCTCGACCGTCTTTGAGCATCTGTTGTATTTTCAACACCATCTTTTTCCGCCCTCTTTTTCGGACGCAGCAATATTATTTCGCACGCACGCCAATTGAACCTGCAGATGGACTGTCGACCGATGTTCCCCACGTGAGGGTTGAGACTGGACTGAACGAAAGACGGTTCGCTACGCTTTCGTTCACCTGCATGGTGCTAGACGACAAAGTGCGGCTCGAGGTTGGAGAGGGCGCCAAGTCGTGAGTGGAGCATGGTGGGTGGAAACATGGCCGCTGCTAGTCTCGCTGCAAGTCTCGCACGAAAACGACGCTGTCACGCGTCCATTCCGGGCGAAAGCGTGGCAGCGGCTAGGGCGACCCGCGCGACAATGTCAAGCTCGGAATTGACGGCCGCCGGTTCTCACTGCGCGCTGGGCCGAATGGATTTCCATCCGGCCTTCTCCTCCATCCGCTCGACTGGGTACGGCTGCTGCGCATTGCAGTGAGTGGAGAGCAACACGGCCGGGAACAAGACCGTTCATTAGCCCACATGGACGTGTTGGAAGAGATGAGCAAGGATCAGGGGACACAAGAGCAGGGCTGGCGAAAGGCCCCGGTGGAGCGGCAACTGGCGCAGGGTTGGACCGGCTTCGCACTCGCCCGGAGCGGCTCAGTCTCGGCGGCGGAATTCCAGTATCCGGCTCAGCTTCCCCACAGTCGGCAACCTCTGTGAAGCAAAGCTTCGGCGCAGCCCCTACAAAAACCCTCAGGCGTCCCGCATCCGCCTTCTTCCCCGACCTTTGCCCTCAGATCCTTTCTCTCCAACCCTCCTCCAGCTTTCAGCCCCGTATACAAACAACATGGCTCAGCGAATCACCCAGCTTGCGTCGCACCTCGACCCACGCTCGTGGTCGGGCAAGGGCCTGCACGCGCACCAGGCCAAGAACGACTCGGACGTCGTCATCGTCGCTGCGGGCCGCACGCCGTTCACCAAGGCCTACAAGGGCTCCATGAAGGACGCCAAGTTCGACCTGCTGTGCTACGAGTTCTTCAAGTCCCTCGTCGCCTCCTCGGGCGTCGACCCCAAGCTCATCCAGGACATCGTCGTGGGCAATGTGCACAACGACGAGGCGCCCTACTACGTTCGCGCCGCCGCGCTCGCTGCGGGTATCCCCAACACTACGCCTGCGATCGTCGTCAACAGGTTCTGCTCCTCGGGTCTCATGGCGATCCGTGCGATTGCCAACGGCATTCAGGCCGGCGAGATCGAGTGCGGCCTTGCGTGCGGTATCGAGCACATGTCGACGCAGCCCAAGCGTCCCACGGTGATCTCGGAGGAGCTGAGCAAGCTGAGCCAGGAGGCGGACGACTGCAAGATGCCCATGGGCTGGACCTCGGAGAACGTCGCCAACGACTTTGGCATCTCGAGGCAAAAGATGGACGAGTTTGCCGCGCGCTCGCACCAGCGCGCCGTGCAGGCGCAGTCGCAGGGCAAGTTTGACGCCGAGATCTTCCCCATCTCGCTCCCCACCGTGGCCAAGGACGGCAGTCGTCAGACCTCGGTGATCTCCGCCGACGAGGGTCCGCGTGCAGGCACCACCGCCGAGTCGCTTGGCAAGATTCGTCCCGCTTTCCCACAGTGGGCGCCCGGTAACACGACGGGCGGCAACGCATCGCAGATCACCGACGGCGCTGCCGGTGTGATCCTCATGCGTCGATCGCTCGCCAACAAGCTCGGCCTGACCATCCTGGGCAAGTACGTCTCGTGTGCCGTCACTGGTCTCGAGCCTAGGATCATGGGCATTGGACCCAGCAGCGCCATCCCTGCGCTGCTCGAGCAGACGGGCGTGAGTCAGGACCAGGTGGACCTGTTCGAGATCAACGAGGCTTTTGCGAGCATGTACGTCTACTGCGTCGAGAAGCTCGGTCTGGACCCGGAAAAGGTCAACGTCAACGGCGGCGCATGTGCCCTCGGCCACCCGCTCGGCGCCACGGGTGCAAGGCTCGTCGTCACCGCCCTTAACGAGCTCAAGAGGAGAAACCAAAAGGTCGCCGTCGTCTCCATGTGCATCGGCCTCGGCATGGGCGCTGCCGGCCTCATCCTCCGCGAAGACTAGGAGACTACATGACTCAATCGCAGTGGTTTTGGATCGCTATCATCTCGGAGTGTGTGTTGTTGTGTGATTGCATGGAATGAGGAAAGTGTGGATCGCGCGACGTGAGGGCCCTACTTGGCGGCATCTTGTGCTGCAGCTTGCTTTTCTTCTTCTTCCGGCTCCTCCTCCACTGCCGAAAGCCCTTCCTCCTCGTCCTCCTCGTCTTCGTCTTCGTCTTCGCTGCCGTCGTCTTCGGCTTCCGGTTCGTCATCACTGCGCTGCGAGTCGTCCGGCTTTTCGACTCGCACGCCGCTCTCCTCGAGCGAGCCGGTCTCGTCGCCCTCCTCCTCCTCCTCCTCATCGTCGTAGTCCTCTTCGTCATCATCATCGTCATCGTAGTCCTCCTCATCCTCCTCATCCTCCTCATCCTCCTCATCCTCCTCATCCTC